GCCCGAGGCGCCCGCGATGCCCCCAAAGGCGCCGGCTCCTCTCTTGCAGGTGTTGAGCGAAACCTGCGGCGCCGGGCTTGCTGTAAGGGTAAAAATCGGTCCCGGTGAGTGTGCTTCTCGGGAGGTCGTGCGCAAATAAGAAAGCGCAGCCCTTCTCGGAGCTGGGCAGGTCGGGAGCTGATAAGGAATACCCATAAAAGTGTCCACGCGGAGGGAAACTGCTTCCTGCTTCTCCCTTCTGCCCTCCAGCTCCATTTAATGAAGGGGTACTCTTCAGCACTATTGCAGTCTCAGTTGTCATGTGACTTACACAACTCTCCAGTAAAGGAGACATAGAAATGAGGTTTGCAGTGCTCGTTTTTGCTGCCAAAACTCGGCTCTACCACACACACAAAAAAAAAAGAATCAATTTATGTTAACATCAACTTAGGATGGGGATTTCTATAAATGTGTGAAAAACCTCCATCCACTTGTAATAGCAGCTCCAAATTAACTGGAATATTACCTTGTGCTACGTTTAACATCTTCTCCATGATGAGACTGCAAATAATGAAAGACTGAAAATACCTATGTTTGGCATGACGTGTGTTTGGGTTTTGTTTCTGCCTTTAAACACATGTGGGGCTGGCTCCATACCCTGTTCGGTGGACATGCCTGGCAATGTATGGTGCGCTCTCCAGAAGGGCACTACAAGATCCCTGCATGGCTGTGGCCTCGCAGTGCCATAGCTCATGGTGCCCAAACCAGAGTGCCCTATTTCCTTATGCTCAAGGAGTTACCTCAAATGCAGCAGGAAGTCAAGATCATCGTTTCTGTATTTTTCCAGCTTCCCATATTTATTCAAATGGGACTATATATCTTTTGACCCTTTAGTACAAAAAGTATTAAATGTGGAGAGCATAGGCTGAAATATCTTAAAAATCGCCTAGATTTTTTTTCAACTGGACCTTTTCGCAGGGTTGTTTATGCTCATGTTCTCCCAAAAGGAGTCAGTGAGGGCCAGTAATTTTCCAGTGTGCGTTCAGTTGCAGGAACTGCACCCTGAATTTCACCTGCAGTAAAACATAGGATTATCCCAAGTCATGCCTAGAGCCAGGGTGCGGTGCCTTGTTACCCGCTGTGGTTCTCTACAGTCTTTGGCTGTGTGGCATGTCCCTGTCTCTGCTCTGTAGAATCTCTGCCAATGGCCTTCAGAGCTTAAGAGGTCTTTCAGTTCTCAAGCACAGTGCCTGGTTTTAAGGTTTCCCTGTTATGTTTTCTCACCAAAACAGAAGGAAATGGCTCTGCAAACTGTCCCATTTTAAACATGATACAGGGAGATACCCCTCAAGATCTTTTGTGCTCTCTGGGGAGAATCTGAACATTTCCTGACCTTGGAAATTCACATAGTTGATTGCTTTTTCTTCCTTTCCCCTCAAAGATCCTTTGGAGTCCAGGAGACCGTGCACTCCTATACTGATGCTGTGTCCAGCTTCTCTCTTAATGAAGAGCTCCCTTAATTATTAGGATATCTAGCAATTAATGCTCCTAAAGGTATTTTTTTAAGCTTAGGAACATCCCCATATCTCATCTTGGATTTGTCCAAACATCTTGTTACAGGTGAGATGAAAGGGTGATATAAAATATATAGGCAAGTTCCTGTGTACTTTGGCATTGTCCATATGTGGGCATTTCTAACATATTACAGTCAGTTCAGGCATTATAAAAACTGGGCAGAAGGACTCGGTAGCAGGACTGAACCAGTCACCAGCAGAGCATACTTGTATGCTCCTGTGACAGAGGAGCTTTAGACTCTAGCAGGTGACCATGTTGCTTTGCAAACTATGAAATAATACCAGATCAGCGGGGATTCAGTGCAGCTCCATTAAAATTAATGGCACTCTGCTCAGTTACATACCTGAAGATCTGGCTGTGTGCCAGCAGCTCGTTGATTAACACTGTTAACACCTTCTCTTCTCACTGGTTAGAGTGAAGTCAGATGAGATGGCTGAGGAGTGGGCCAAGAACTTTGCTGCCAGTGAAATGGGCATTCCCATTCTCTTTTCTGCAGTTCTTCTCCCCCTCGCTCCAAGCTGTAACCTATTCTGTATGAGGCTGGCCTTTGGCTCACCAAAGGGCTGACGATACAGTACTCTAACATGGTAAAAGGTTTGTTTTTTTTTTTTAAGCTGGGTTAATGTTCTGCAAGATTAACTGAGTTTGCTAACAAAGGTCAAATGTGCACTAGAGCTGGAGCGCTGGAGGTAGTGGAGGTGGGGAAGGGGACACTGCCTCCTCTTGGCAGCAAAAGTTGTAAGGTCTGCTCAGCTGGTCTTCTCGTTGAGGACTAGTTAGTGGTCTTGTGATTTCTTAAAAATATTTGCATATATGTCTTACTATGTTTTAATTATGCAGGTCCGGTTTTAGAGAGTTAGGATATCAGCTCTTCATCTCATTAAAGGGTCATGAGCCACCTTAAAAAGAGAGCTCAGGGTGGGTTTTTTTGTCCTTGTTCTTCAGAGTTGCTAAACGCTTCTAGAGGGGTAGGTGAGTACTCTGCTAGCCAGGGACATCCTCTTGTTCAGGATCCCTCTGAAAGACTTATGGCCCAGAATTACAGATATCTGAGAAGTTAAAAGTTATCCAGGATAACACTCATCATCTTAACACTTACTTCAAATGCTTTTTTCTCACTTAATAGTTTCAATGTTCAGTGAACCACTTCCTCCTCCACATTTATGCATGGAGAGGGGGAGGGGAGAGGATGTTTTCCTTTGTTTTTATAGACCTATAAGCCAAGGCTTCTAGATACTTGTGCTAAGCACTTGAAATTCAGCAGGTAAATGAGCTGATTTCTTTAGATGCCTGGCATCACCTACCATTGTGTATACTACCATGTGATAACCTTGCTGTTCTTTGGCTTCCTAGGACATATTTTTTTTTTTTTTTACTCTATTCTTTAAGACAGTTCTGCCCACCTATTAATCATAACTTGTATTGTTTTCGTGGTGCTTTGTCATCACACTTCATTTCCTATTCTGTTAATACTCAATATATAACTAGCTCCATTGTCTTTCTCACTTCTGAATTTGTGTGTGTGTATCTAGAGTCTAATCAAAAACCCAGAAGAGTGGGAGATAAAGCCTCTCAAAAGCAAAACTGTGGAGTACTTGCTCAAAGCATTTCAAAATGAGTTTGCCCTTGTGACTTTGAGGCCATACCTACTTACTTTTACCAAACCATTTTCAATAGAACTAGAATTAAAGGTGACTCAAGGAAAACTCAGTTACAAAGCCTTCAATGGAATAAAACATTCAGATGAAGACTTGGCTAACCCAGCTCAACACCTCCTTTGTTTTCATGGCCCAGCTGTGTGTGCTAGGAAGGCTTACTGTGCCCTAGTGCGGTAAGTCCTCCATGTGTTGGGTTTTTTGGGGGGGGAGGGGGGTTACTACCACAAGAAATAGCTGTCTGTTTGACTTTTTCAGACAAGCACTAGAGTCACGCACTCATCCATAAAACTATGCCAGCAGTCTCCCCAAACTCAGAAACTTAAATGGTCGTCTGTCATTTGATAACTAAGCGTAAGCTAAAGGTACATTGACTTTGAGAGTACGTTTGTATCTGCTGGTACTAATAAGAACACATGCCAAGAAACATACTTGCTGCAGGTATATTTGAGAATCAAAATAAACTGGGAGACACCTCCAAAAATCCTCTTTTATTCTAAATCTTGAGTACCTAGGAAACAAGAGGTGTTCTTTCTTATGGTATTCACTAAAGATGCTGAAAAAAAAACGTGACTACTTAAACCAATTACACTGTTATCTGGGAACTATGAGAGAGTGGCATTCATCTGCAGATTAGAAAGGTGTGTCACTGCAAACATTCTCACTTCTTTCCCAGCCTTTCTGAAACTTTTTCGGGAGCTTCAAGCCTTATGCAGATGGAGAACGAGAAAATGAGCTAGGCTCTTCTTGGTTCTCAGTTTTCCCTGAGACTCACAGGAGGAAAAACTTCCACCTGTTCCCCTTTGAATCCTGGAGCTCAGAAGATGTACAGGATAGAGCCATTGTGTCTGCCTCTGTCAAACACTTCTCAGAGGAAAAATGATTTGAAAACTTCATAAACTGAAACTGACTTCTTGTGTATGGAAAAGGGATTTTCATGCATGAGAACAATGGGTTTTTGTCTTCCTTTACAAACTGCTTTAAGCAGGATCTTGACTCAGTTTTGTTTAGGCAGTGCTCACTCCTGATATATGAGAGGAAATGTTGTGTACAGTGCTCCCTCTCACCTTTGTTTGTTTGTTTGTTTTTCCTCCGGTTTAGCTTTCTAGTATAGAGACAAAGAAAGTCTCAGAGTTATGAAATTCTTTGCTCTCTCCCAGAGGGAAGAAACTGTCAGGAATAGTAAGTGACCTTAACTTTCCTCTCAGTCCATGTTGTCACGATGGTTTCAATGAATTCCTTGTCTCTTAACTGTACAAGAGAGAATAAAAGTTCAAATACTGTTCTTGATGGATTTTTCTGGGTGCACCATGTAAATACAGCTGTATTTTTCCACACCATAATAGAATTTGACCTGCCTTCTATATTAAAGTAATGGTAGTCTTGTGGCACAGAAATCAGATGACAACTTTAATTTATTTTTTTTTTTCTTATACTTGGGACTTTTTTCAGTGATCTGGTTGTTTGATTTGTGCTGTGCTTATAACGCAAAGCAGCCATAAATTCGGACTACTCAACGAATTAAACCAGGTTTATGGTTAGTCACTCTTGTACCAGCAGATAGACCTGAAGTAACTAGAATGCCTCAGTGAATATGAGTCTTGATGTAGACTGATTTCACTGGTTTTATAAAAAATAACATAAATACATTTTCAGTTGCTTTAAAAAATTTTAACATGAATTTGCAAAAGGAAAGGAAACTTTTAAATAAAATGGCAGAATTGTCTTTCTGTAAGAGTTAGAAACAAATTTATTAGTGTTGCTGATACACACAGAAAAGTACTCTGATAGGCCAAAAAAAGAAATAAAATCACAATAAATTTTAAATTAAGATGACTTTGCCCAATTAGAAACCAAAAGTGGTGGTTTTGATCTGTATGTAATCTAGGACAAAATTCACATTGATTTAGTGAAGCCAGAACTTCTCAGCTGCACGTTTAAGAGAAGATAGAATTTGTTTTTAATACATTGAATGTCACTCACAACATCTTATATCAGAAAATACCTACTTTTTTTCAGATCTGGAAAGACCATTGTTCCACTGATGTTCGTGTCTTTGGTAATAATGCTATATAGAAGACAGGAAAAAAAAACAGAACCAGATCTTTTGAACTCTGAATTTTTTGCATGAGATAACCAGAGATAAACTGTATCCAAAAAGAATTGCCTTTTGTTTGTTTGAACAATAAAGAACTATTTTTTTTTCCCCTCTAATTCCAGGTTCAGCTCTAGGTTTGCTGCACAACTTTGGCTAACTTGTTTCTATCTGCCTCCATTTCCTGTTCTGTAAAAGGTGATTAATGGTATGCATTATCAGGAGGTATATAGCTATTTAACCAAATATTTGTAAAGTGCTTGGAGACTTCTTGATTAGAATGTTATAAAAGAGTAAAAATAAAGTGTCCTCTTTATATTCACCTGCAAGTAGTTAATCGTTTATGGGCTATTCCTGTATCAGATAAAAGTGCTTGATTTTTATCAACAATTGAACATTGTTTTAATTCCAGGATAAACTGGGTAGATGAAGCCAGAAAACTGTAAATCACTGCTTAGTCACAAACAAAATACTGATCCAGTTCACTGAATCAGGCATGCTGTAAGCGAGTGGAAATCCAGTTTAGTTCTGTGTGTTTATATTCTTCAGCAAGCCAGCAGCTAACATAGGAAAAAGTTTTTCTGAAAGTCCTTCTGAATCACAGTTAGTGCTATTGCACATCCCAGTATGAAAGGTATTTATCTCTAGTAAAACTTCACAGATTTGGTACTCTTACTGCTTGCTACATTTTCCTTCTGAATTACTAAAATATGCTGACATATCCTCATCAGTCTTTGTTGAGGTCTGACTCTCTCGATTGGTTTGTTCTGGTTCAGTTGCTGCATTAATTCCTTAAGAAGGGACTGTTTGCCGGCCTGCTGTGTATCTAAAGGAGTCTTGTGTTTAAAGGTGCAAATAAAACAAAACCAAAATACTTCTTATCTTCAGAGAAGGCAGCATGAGAAAAAAGTCCTTTCTGGTAGATAATGAGAACTTCAGCATTGCCGTTTTCCTCTAAGAGGTGAAAGATTGATGCTTTAACTCTACCTTCACTTACTCCCCAACACTTCATCATTAAGCAAGCAAGTTTTAGAGCGAGATGTTCCTATGCTCGCTTAACTAATTGTATACCAATTTTAATAATTTTTACACACTTTATAATATTTGTAATTATAATATATTCCTTTGGAATCAAATCTCAACCACAATGAAGCATTTCGGAACTGCATTTGAAGCTACAAGAGGCTAGCTAGAAAAACTATTTGCTTGCTCTGGGATTGAATTTGGATTTAGGTCATTAAACTGCTGTAAAACCACAGGATTAATAATCTTCCGAAGGCAATTTGTGGTCATCTTGAGAAAGGAGCACAAACTGGGTACTACAAGATTTTGCTGGCAACGGACCTCTTTTCCTAAATACTTCTTCTCTGGTAACAACAGTAACAGCACTCGTAAAACCAATGTACCAACGCGAGCAGGCATCTTTACTACAGTTTTGCGTAAAACTGTTCAAGGTAGAGGTACAGTGAAAATCACTTTGGCAACATTGCATGTACGCTATAGAAAAGAGCCTTAGTCATAGTGTGTGAGAAATGAACTTTTCCCTAAATATCCGAAGTTAACAAAGCTTATGGTTTAGGTGGTAACATTGTGCCACTACTACAAATTATGGCATAGGCTAAGTGTGGCTTATATAATTTCATCACAAAATCCTGACTATCTTGTTTTCTGTCTGCACATGCTTTGAAGAAAGAACAGAGCATAGATGGAAGTTACATAACAAAAGAAAACTGGCAGTTCTATTATTATGTCTCTGTATTCAGTTTTCTCTGTTTCTAGCATCATTAGAACAGTGTGAATGCTAAAACTG